TTCCGAGTCGCAATTCTTCAAGGACTTCGGGGACTCCATGATCAACATGGGGAATGTTGGTGTCCTCACTGGCTCAGCAGGTGAGGTCAGGAAGAAATGTTCGGTTGTCAACTAGAGGGTACGAACTTTCTCGATCAGCAATCGAAGAGACTTAGGAAGCAACTTTTACGCTGTGTGTTTGACTACCAAAATGATTCGTGGTTTGGTAGCTTGTCATATGTGAAGTCTGCTGTGATTCTTTGTAACTCTCTGTATCCTACTCATACTTTTCGGAATAACTGGTAGAACTCTACCAGCGAAGTTCATATCTTTCAATAAATAAGTTGATATTTCCAGAGTCCTTTTTTCTTGTGTTCTCGTTTTATAATTTCCTGGGGATTCTCCATGAATATTCGTCTCAAAAGTCTGAATGTCCCAAAGAATTCTATATAATTTCCTGGGTAAATACGATTTTTGTAAGATTCTGAGCTTGTCCTGTTCAAACAAGTCCAGTCAAAGTGTGGAGTTCTCCTCGACACCTAAGTCAAGATTCTTTTGGTTGGATCCGGTGACCAAAATTGACGGCTCCGCTCAGCAATCTCTTGCCTATTTGCGTATTTACGATGCCTAAATAATGAGGTTTAATTAAGAAATTGGTTCTTCAGTATGATTTGACGCATGCTGTGGTTGTTATGTAATGGTGTTAGAAGCACAAATACAATGCGATAATAATTTCGTGACACTTCGAATATTAAGTGGTTTCATTGAGATAGCAGGAATGGACGCGGTCTTGCCTATTTGAGTAAGTCCAAATCAACAATGGACGCGGTCCAAAACAGCAACCTCTCCGACCGCAACATTAACCAACGCTGATGGATTCAAAGCAAGATAGCAGGAATATAATATGCACTAACCAATCCAACAGCTTTATCCATCACTCATTCTTCCCGGTTTCTCTCAATCTCTATCTCCCATCTATTACTAAATCAATCAGAGACCATACATCACACCTTTTTTCACCTTTAAACCTGTTTTGACTCGGTGTTCGCAATGGACGTGAAGAGTTAATGGCTGAGCAACACAGATTCAACAATCTTTCATCAATTTTTAGATAACTACTTTACTAGCCATTAAGTATTAACACAAATTCAACATCAGTGGGTCACTTCAATGATCAAGATGGGAAAGATTGATTGTGGTCCTCACAGGCAATGCAGGGGAGATCATAAGCAACTGTGATTTGGTTAACTAATAGGTTCTTGAATGTTTTACTTGTAAGAGGTCGCACATGTTAAGTACTAATCATTGTCCGATTGAGCATATCAATGCCAACTCGTAATTCATTATATTTATATGAAATAAAACAAAGGGTTTAGTCAAGTAAATTAGTTGATCTCACTACATCATTCCTTATAATCCTTCTTCCTTTTTCAAGATGCCGAAACAAAACATCCATAATGATTCTTTAATCAGTATCAATTTACATTTTAGGTATGCCATGTTACCTTGTAGTCTGCATCACACAAAAAACTGGATATGGCTGGTGTCGCCGGAACAGTAGTTGGGCGGCGGATGTGCAATTATTGGATTGCTCCGGGAATGAAGGAAGAGAATTATGTTTGTTTCACATGTCAAAATAATGCATCTATTATCTGACAGATCATTGCAACCAACCTAAGGCTGATAAAATTGACATTGCAACTGCTAAATCCAGTCCTAGATTACGAAAATAAAAAAATATAATTATGAAAATGGATTAAAACCATATTTTCATTTTATTAAATGGGTCGTAATATTTCAACATCAATTACATTAGCATAATTCCTAATCGGTCAGTATATAATTTTTTAATCTTAATTGGAAAAATGGAAGTTGCTTCATTATTCATATTTAGGAGGATAGCTAAATTTTTCCATTAGTTTTGAATTCATCTGGTATTTACCAAAGGAAACTCATATAATAACCAACCCTCAGTAAAATTGTCCCACACCCATGAACATCAATGTGCAGACACAATCCACAAGTACGAGATTGCTCGAATGACGCTACATTCACTTCACACGAGTACGTCTTACATCACCACTGACAGACGAACACACTTGCTAAAAGAACGAAAACTGGCTGTACCGCGCACGCACGCAATGCACGCAAGTAACACTCGCACATGCACACGCACACGGGCACATAAACGCGCTGGCACACACAAACTAGCGCTTACAGACACGCACACGGGCAGATGCACGCGCTAGCACACACAAACTCGCGCTTATCGACACATACCCACACACAAACTAGCGCTTATTGACACACCCACACACAGGAGAATGCTGAATGCATCAGACAATCAACTAAAGTATGCAGCTGGCGCCTCTTCCAAGTATGCCTGCATGGGAAAGTAACGCCCACAGATGCGTGATGAACTCCCCACCTCTTGCAAGACCCTCCGCATGAGCTTTTGCATTGTCTGATGGAGCAAGGAACAGGATCATCTCCACCCAAAATTCCGCCATCACCTTCCATCGCATCTCTGGCGTCTCCATGTCTATCAACTGCTTTCCCAGTCTCGCACCCCTACAAACGACATTCTGAGAAGTGTCACTTTGGTTCATCATACTTTGAAACCTTTGGTCCAAGTTCAATGTCCCGAGTTGCGAGGAAGCTTCCTTTACTGCGTCATCAAAGATCAACTGAACATCAAAACTGTTGTCCGGTAGAAGATCTGGGACAAACCCTACCAAGTATGCACAATATTGCGATAAACTGTTAGCAACGACTTGGTTATCCTTCATCTCCATCGAGGTAACGTTTGCGCGCTCCACTCGGGATCCGTGGATCTCACACTGAGAAGTGGCTATATGCCAAACCAATATTACCTGCGCGTGAGTTTCAAGATTGCATGCCCATGAAAGCTGTGCGCTCACTCCATTTCGTTGCAGAGACGAAATTCCGTTGGTCGGCAGGGCGTCATGGTTGAGTCTGAGCCAACGGACGACTGCTTTCTTTACCTCCCTTGGCAGCTTTAATCGCTTGCTTTGTTTTTGGCCAGCTCTGGTCTTCCCAACCATTTCACATGTCATGCAATATAACATGTTCTTAGCTGTTGGCTTATAATCACAATGTTCAAGAAGCGAATACTGACCCAGCTTATTCTGCAAAACCCTGTCGAAAACCTTTAGATGGCAAAGATGTTTTATCATTTCTGTGATCCATGGCTTATCATGCCATGAAGGATGAGCAACGTATCTACAAACGAGAGATACTTTGGCCCACTCCGAGCACACATAGAGCAAGATCTGGAACAGTTCCAGCAAAGCAATGGCTACTACAATTATCAAGGTGAAAATTGCATCGAAGCTCTTCCTTCCGATTGTGATAAGGTTGAAGTAAGTGGTAGGGGATAGATAATACTTCATGACTGACACTCCGGACCAACATAGAAATATCAGAAGTGTAGCTGACATGGCTAGCATGAATTTCTCACTAACAAATATCAAAGGATACTTTGTATAGAAATAATCATGAAGGAAAGCCAGCTCTACCTCGATCACCCTGAAGGCTCTTTCATGAGCATCATCATCGTTGGAGAGCAATCCCCGAATCACGAAGTCCCTGGTCTTTTGGAGGCTGCTCTCAGCAAGTTGATAGCCGGAAAATCTACGCTGAATTAGCTTGAACAGGGCAAACGAAAGACAAATGTCTTTCAAACGCCCTTCTGGATCTCCGCTCGAGCTCAGCAGACCTCCAGTGCACCGCCAGATTTTGTTGACGGTGATAACCTGACGATCAGTTATTTCTATTCGGAGTAGGCAGTTAGGAGCTTCATAAATAAGACCAACTTGATCTTCTCCATAAACCAGATAATTGTATCCTCTCATGTTCGTGGGATCGGGTTCATCTTGCGGCGTCAATTCGGACTCGTATTTCATGTAGGCTGCGATTAATTTGCTTTTCTTCTGCCCGTTTGTTTTGGTGGCCCCTTGAAATACATCTGTCCGTTCACCGACTCTGATACCCGTCAGAATCAAAAGTACAACAACCGGGATTCTGAAGCTGGAGTGGGTGTGCCCGAGATATGTGCCCACCAAGTAACCAATAATAAACAAGTGCGTAATATTTTCTGCAAAATTCTTTTTCCAATTTTCATTGTCTTCAAGGCCATAAGCTGAAATAGAGATGGCGCTTCCGAGTACCAAGGACAAGCAAATGGCCCATATCGCAAGCAATCCATTATTGATGCCAGAGGATTGCATTTGTCCAACGGTGTAGAACACCAAGAAGGTGGAGCACGTGTAAGCAACCGAGACGACGGCTTGGATGACGGTGTTGCTGGACCGGCGCCGGAACGAACCAAAGATGATCAGCAGAAACAGAAGGACAGTCGCCAACAGAACCAGGGCTTCGAGACGGATGAGTTTGGCCTTCGGGGAGTACAAGTTATCAAGCATTGCGGGAAGGGGAGTCTGACAATCACCGAGCACCGTCTTTTCTTTGGTTTCTCCTTACTTGAGCTATCCAGTTTGGTGGGAGCAACTGCCTGTTATATTGTGAGGTTAAGCTACAACGATAACGTGTGAAACAACAAATAATAATAATAGCGTACACATAAAACTCTAATAGTAATAAACAAATTATGGATATCTTGGAAAAATGATTAATGATGAGGAAATGACTCCCATCAGAAAACCTTTGGACGTTTCTGGATTTTTTAATGATGAGGAAACAAAGTTTCTTGTCAGGACTTTGTAAGAATTACTTGAAGGTGGAAACAGAGTTTCTTGTCAGGAAACAAAGTTTCTCCATCTCATTTTTCTGATACAGTGACGATTCCATAAGAACATGCTTAGGTATTTCAACGATTCCATAAGATTTTTGTGCTTCAAAAAAAAAAAATTTGAAATTTTCACCAAAAGTAAACAAATAGTGACAACACAATAGTCCCAAAGTCATGTTTGAAATGATAAATCTTAATTTTAGTTTTTGTTCATATTTAAATCTCAACTATGCATCATTGACATAATTTTTTCATCCCTTTTGTGGCGCTAATCTTAGATAAACCTTAGGTGAAGTAATAAAGAAAGAAAACTGAGATCACATTGCATGCAACTTAGAAGCTCATATTGGTACACATTGGTAAATAAGCAAGCCAGGTTCTTTTTTTTTCTTTTTTTATTATATCTAAACACATCCCGAGAAGAAATAGATAAAGATTAAAATAATAATAAAAACTATGAAAAAATTAATTACTCTTAATATAGCTACATATCTCAATGATGATAAAGGATCATCGATCTCAAATAGCTGCAACTTTATGATTTTATAGTTGTCAAGCATAACCACAACAAATGGGTTTTCCTATACTACGCTACGCAGCATATGTGCTAAAACAGTTAATGTAAACAAAAGTTCTTTTTTCCCTTAATCTAAAGCAATGAAATCGATCTAAATGAACAATGGAAAGCTTTGTTGTAATAATCACAAAGCTAATGGAAAAACTTAGTTTTAATAATTAATCTTGTCGTAGCATGAGGAGCAATAGACTACTAATAAGTCCGAGCTTTGTTTTATGCACCAATTAGTGCCGAGGTTAGCTAACATATAAGCTATGTAGAGATTCTGTTCCTCCAGCCAATAAAGCACAAAATGAAAAAACTTTCCAGTATTACAAACTAAAAAATTTTAGTCCATTTTGGATTAGTTCAGTGCTCAGCTTTCCACGATAGTTCATGCAAGTGCATTCCTTTCCTAGCCCGGCCTAAAAAGCTGCTAAATATAAAACACAGTTTTCTATAAATTCATCACTTAAGATGGACGAGATAAATAAAATAAATCATATCATCCTACCTTTGTAAGCAAAGTGCGATAACACAATAAAGATCTAATGTAAAATAAATTTAAGATATTAATTTTGAAATAGATTCTAATATCAATTTTAAGAATAAAAATTATAGTTATGTTATTATGTGAAAAACTTCAATGTTAGAAATCAAAATCAAATAATCATATATTAAAGATTATGGTTGCGTACCTTTAGATTTCATTCAGAACATATTTCTTCTGATGCATAAATACTCGAAGCAACGAGATCGATATATAAGGAATAGGGACTAAGAATGGAGATTGAGAACATATTGTACTCTAAATTTTTGTAGTTCATCGACAAGAGGTCATCTCCTTTTATAGGTGAGACATAAGGGTCTACGATGATGATTAGAAAAAATTTCTCTCATCATCTTCTAAGGAATCCCATCATAAGTTGATTTTCTTTCTATTGGTCACTAATCATAATTAGAATCCAATTACATATATATTATATCTTATTTAATTAAATAGAGTTATATAATTTAACAATCAGTGCATATAAATTTGTAAATCAAATCAAATTACGTGTATTATATTTCGAATGAGTGTTATTTTTCTTAGCCATGTGTCGACTCTGCAAAAAAGAATAAAGCTAACTCAATCATATCTATAATTTATCTTACCTAATTAAATAGAATCATATAATTTAATAATTGATGTATATATATTCGTAAGTTAAATCAAATTACGTATGTTACACGTCGTAACATACAAATATCTTACAAGTCAAATCGAATGAGTATCATTTTTCGTAGCCATGCATGTCGACTCCCACAAACAACAATGAAGTTAACTCAATCATATCTATAATATATCTTACGTGATTAAATATAGACTACAAAATTTAACAATCGGTACGTATAGATTTGTAGGTCAAATCAAATTATGTATGTTGCAGGACGAATGGGCCTCATTTCTCCTATGTGTGTCAGACCTCGTAAATAAGAATGAAGCCAAACTCAATCAAATCATGTATGTGACGGGACGATGGCGCTTCCGAGTACCAAGAACAAGCAAATGGCCCTAGCGCAATCAATCCATTCTTGAAGCCAGAGGATTGCATTAGTCCAACGGTGTAGATCACCAAGTCGGTGGAGCACGTGTAAGCAACCCAGACGACGGCTTGGATGACGGTGTTGCTGGACTGGCGCCGGAACGAACCGAAGATGATCAGCAGAAACAGAAGGACAGTCCCCAACAGAACCAGGACTTCGATCGATAAGGATGAGTTTGCCCTTCGGGGAGTTCAAGCCATGAAGCATTGCGGGAAAGGGAGTATGACAATCACCGAGCACCATGTTTTCTTCGGCTTCTCCTTACTTGAGCTATCCAGTTTGGTGGGAGCAACTGCCTGTTATATTGTGAGGTTAAGCTACATCGATAACGTGTGAAACACCAAATAATAATAATAATAATAATAATAATAGCGTACACATAAACTCTAATAGTAATAAATAAATTATGGATAGCTTGGAAAAATGATTACAGTGTCGATCAAGAAGTCTTGTACGCGAGACATTTCAACTTCCACAATTTTTTTAATCCCATTTATCTATCTTAAAGCAATCAAACTTTCATATCTATATACCCTTGCAGTTAAGACATGCTTTTTTGCAGCAAGTTAACTTTCATAAGAAATGACTCGCATCAGAAAACCATTGGAAGTTTCTGACAGGACTTTGTAAGAATTACTTGAAGGTGGAATCTTATGATATCATGCCAAAAACCTAACACGTTTGACTTGGGTTATAGGTGATATCTGCGTACTTCCAATATGTGGGCGTGCGTGCTATCTCTGATCTTTGCTTCATATATAATCTTAATCAAGTGCTTGAGGTAGCAGATTCAGCTCCCACATATCCATTTCCCTGGACAGTTATTGCACAGTAACGAAATAAAGATTCTAAGGTGCCTATCTCTGTGTATAGAATCTTCATAAGAAAATTCTCCGGTGACTTTTCAGCTGTGTGCAGGCGACCTCATTGTTGTTTATCATAAGATCATTCCGCTTAAAACGATAGCGGTGTTCTTTCAGAGTTCATCTCATTTTTCTGATACAGTGACGATTGCATGAGAACATGCTTAGGTATTTCAATGATTCCACAAGATTTTTGTGCTTAAAAAAAATTGAAGATCTCAAGAAAAGTAAACGAATAGTGACGACACAATAATCTGGTAGCCGAAATGATAAATCATAAATTTGTTTTCATACATATTTAAATCTCAATATGCATTGTTGATATGTCCTTTTCATCCCTATTGTGTCGCTAATCCTCGATAAATTTTACATGAAGAAAGAAAGAAAGAAATCGAAAATCACATTGTATACAACTTAGAAGCTCCTATTGCGTATACATAGCTAAATAAGTAAGCTTTATTATTATTATTATTATTATATCTAAATATATCCTTTTAGTGATACGAGAAGAGATAGATAAAAAAAAATTAATAGAAACTATAAATAAAGATTTAAGCACTCTTAATATAATTAATTAAAACTTTATGATTTTATTGTTGTAAGTATAACCACTGCGCAGCATATGTGCTCTGACAGTTAACATAAAAAAAGTTCTTTTTTCCCTTAATCTAAAGCTATGAAATCGATTTAGATGAACAATGGAAAGGTTTGTTGTAAAGATCAAAATGCTAATGAAAAATCTTAGTTTTAATAATCATGTCGTAGCACGACGAGCAATAGACTGATGGGGATAAAAAGAGGAATAACCTTTGTATAGGAACAAATACTAGAAGACCAAAATACGCAGTGGAATAAAATGGAAACACAATCAAACAGAACACCAAGATATACGTGGAAAACCCCTTCAATGTGAAGGGTAAAAACCACGGGGCAAACTAGAGATAATCCACTATGAGAATAATGAATATACAAATCTCAATCTC